CGTCCCCAGCCGCCCCAGCTGCCCCAGCCGCATCAGCCGCCCCACCAAAGGATTCCCCGCCAGCAACGAAATGCAAAAAGGAGGTGTCAAGTGACACAGAAGACAGTGCCTCAGAAAGCACAGGTAAAGCTTTTATCTTTGGTATGTTTCAGTTTGATTATCAACCCTCATCATTTCACTGCTCCACGTTTTGATCATCCGCAGGTGTCGACACGAGTGTAGCTGCTGTGCTGGAATCTCTGAGTTCTGATGAGAAGGATGCAAGATTGGCCAAAGTGCTCCGCTCTCTGGTGAAGCGTCTAGGTGATGTTGAGGCTGAAAGAGGGCGACTGACAGCTGAGAATGAAGTTTTACGGAAAAAATCAGAGGAACAAGAAGCTTTAGTTTTGCAACAAGAGAGAATTATCCAACGTCTACAAGAGGAACAAGAAAGATTGAATAGCAAGGTACTGTATCATATCATAATTTTTGTCTGGATATTCGTGGCCTTGCTCTTGAATGTCATGATACTTTCATTATTTATGTCAACGGAAAGTCTTAAATTTCTTGTTTCTTTTTTAATAGCATGATCCAGAGGCATTTCAAGACAAAGTAATGGCCATGGAAAAAGAACTTCGAACCCTTCGCTGTGAAGTCAATCGTTTGCCCAATGGTAGGCATGAGAATGTTAAAAAAACTGATGCTGCCACTAATGCAAAAGACAGTGAAGCTCGGAGTCCTGTCAGAAGAGAGTCAACAGAAACAAACATTGCTGTTAGTGTCATACACAAATCAGAACCACAGACGCTCAGCGGGTCTGAGTGATACAGCTTACCTGAACAGTAATGGTATTGTCACAAACAATTTTGTTTTTAGGCAGATGTAAGGGCACATATTTCATTTGTGAATTATCATCACAACTACCACTAACGATTTTGGTTGCCCCTATACCTGTACCATAAATTTTAGCTCACATTTATTTAAATGTATATATGTAATTCATCCTTGCTTAAAGGCACTTAGTTCTAGTTCTGTCACAAAGCTGAAATTCTGTTTTATCTTGGATTTACTATTTTAGATCATAGTATTTATTGAAGGCCTGGATAAGAAAACACACTATGCTCCCACTGTGCAGCAAACAGGTCCCAGTGAAAAAACGACTCTGTTCCAATTGTTAATCATGGCAGGATATAAGTTATTGTTAAATGTGCGTGCTTTGTAAATAGAAAGCTCAGCCTTAAAGGCTTCTAAGATTTTGAAGGAGGAACTGCTGCTAGCTTGAATCACTCTATTCTAGTCTTTACAAAAATTGCAAAATGAGCAAAGACATTTTCTTCTCATTTGCATATTCAATGTGATCAGTTTTCAGTTCCCTTTGCTAGTATAAGAATCCAGTAGATGTTGTATGAATGAATTTATAAATATATGTTTCTATTATGCCAAGTTAGTTAAGGAGAAACAGAAAATATTTTGTGATCTCCCTGAGTATCTTAAATTCCAGGTGCTTTAGCTGTTTCTCAGTTGCAATTTACATAAGTATATGTTTAGGATAAATGTTGTAGATTTTGGATTTTATTATTTGTTGATGTAGATGTAAATGTGCCAATCAGAAGGCAACTGATTTTTTTTCTTTAACCTTCTGAATGTTAGTGTCAAAGTTTCCAAAATATTGGATGTAACTGATATGTATGTTGCTTGTTTTTTCTTTTTATAAATTGTTCACTTAAAGTAAAAGTTTTAGTGAAGTCACATGAAATTTCTAAAAAATTAAATTAAGTTGAGATTTGTTTAGTTCGGAATACCTGTATTGGCTGTGTTGTCATTTTGTCTGCTGTTATTAGTGTTTGAGTCAGTCTTGAGTAATTTTGTGATGGTTAATGTGAATGAAGTATGGTAAATGTGTACAAACAATAGTGCTTCTCTCCAGCCGACAGATGTTAGGGGAGTGGTAACAATGCAGACCGCGCATATTTTAATAATCATTTTTTGATACACAATCATATATTCTCTTCACCACAGCTGCATCTAATACATACAGTACTTCCAGCGTTCTTTCTCTCTTGACGTTTTCCGTCTAATTTGAATGTCTGTAGTTCAGGGCTTGACAGTTACTGTGGTGTTTTGAATATAACTAATATTCATTACTCCTTAAATTAAAGTTGAAGGCTTTCATCAAATCTACTCCTCTTTCATGTTTTGCCAATAAATAATTTTGTGAGTATATTTTGTTTGGTAAACAAATCAGTATTGAAAGTGGCCCCGGCTTTGCTCAGTATTCCCTTGGGTAGTGAGTGTCTAATTCAACTTCCTTTAGTATTGAAATACAACATCAGCTATGCTCATAACATTGCCCGATTTGATGGAAGCCTCTAATTAAACTTAAAGTACAAACCTTCAATTGTGCTGTGTGTGTATGTTTCCAGTACAACTACATACTCTTTCATTTTTATTTTCTTTTTAATTTCAGTCAATACTTATAATATTTTGATTATCTATTATAGTTCAAGTTGTTGTTTATTCTTGTTTTGTTTCTGAGAGATATTTGTAAGGGTACATTCATATTATGTGCTAGGACCGTTTTAGCAATTCAAAGCTGTGACCCTCATTCTGTTTTCTGTTTTTAATTGTATGATGTTAGCATAGCTGTAGTGTCATGTTCTTTACACACTGCTGTGCTATCTGGTGAACATTTTTATCAAGTCCTTAATATCTATTATTAAGTAACAAAAGAATGCGTTGATAGCTCTATGTGATCTCATAACTTTAAATTATTAAGTTAACTAAGTGTTGTAGGCTGCTACTCAGCAAGTGTACAAGAGGAAACCATCAATTTCATGACAAAGGAACAAATCCATATCAATCTATGGAAATTATGCATTTCTCCAAGAGAAATTTTTAAGTGTCTTAGAGTACTTTCTATCTTATATTTATCATGTATGTTCCAGTCATATAAATTAGAAAGTTGTACATACTGATTATTATCTTTTCTGTACAGAATTGCCTCTACAAATTGTATGTAGTCACGTAGTCATTTTTGTGTCTACTCTATCGGTTATTTATTGATTTTTCTTTTCATGGACCATTGAAACACATTTGGCCTTTTACCTTTCATTCCATCTTGATGACCGTTCATGTTGGTAAACTGTAACTTTAAACTGACAACTTACGGATATCTTTTCTCTTTGTTACTATGAATTACTTATTTCTGCCAACATTTGTAGTATTTAACAATTGTTTCCAATTTTTTGATCAAATAGAGATTTCCCAGTGCTCCTGCAACCCAAGTTCGTTCATTGCTACTCCAAACCATCTTGTGTCACATCACCTGCAGTGCCGGCAGAAACAGTTTGAAGGTAGAGTTAAGAGATAGGTCATTTGTTGTGCTCACAATTGGAAGGAATTCAGTATTCTAGTCTCCAGGTATGAGCAATGAACTTGAATTTAATTTTGACTTCTCTAAACTACTCATTCAGGATGGTCCAGTTAAAGGGTTCTCACTTCACATTGCTACATGTTATTGGACTAAGGACAATTTGTACGTTTGTACACTAAGTAGAGTATTCATAGAGGAAAGGCCTATTTTTCATTAGAAAAGGAAAAAATATTGATGTGGAGAAAAAATTATCCCTTAAAACTCCTAGCCCTAAATGTTTGTACACAAACAAAATATCTTTCTTTCAAGTTTATGTTGATAAAACATATTGCATCATGGAAAAACCAGTGAAAAGATTTACTTCCACTTGCACAGATTAAACCCAGTATTGAGAGTGATATTTTTGGGTTCATTGACACATACAGTTTTCATAAGAAATTTTGAAAACACAAAACTTACTCTACTAAATTTCTATCCAGAATTTTCATAAACAAGCATCTTGTGCATCATTCACGTTATTGCTTTCACTGCACTTTTCCCTGCTTGCAGTAGCTTCATGTACCTGATCAATTTATCAACTCTTTTACATTTTGGATCCTACAGTAACTAAAGTGAAGCATTTAAAACTTGCTTCCTTTAGAAATTTATTTAAAGAGTCACTCTCATATTGCTTAGTGAGTGTCATCAAGGTTGCCTTTTTAACTTTCTTGTTGTAAGAGACTATGCAAGTACAATTGTGATTCATGTTCTTTCATGTAGCCTTTTTCCAATGATTTTCATCAAAGCATATTAATTTGATCGTAATGAACTTATCAAAACACGTAAATACTACTATTATTATTGGTCAAAGTGTTAATATTATATTTTATCATTTTGATGTGAAAATTATTTAAAGGATACGGTACTATTAATGCACCAGTGAAATTTCACTTTTTGAAGTTATGAAAGATAAGGTCCAAATACTAAATGTCTTTTAGGAAGTAACAATGAAATTTTACTATGACTGCAATATATTAATGTACATGATGTGAGGGAGTATTGTTCTTAGTGCATAAACTTGAATGTTTGTTAATGGAAACTTATTGATTTCTTCTTACAAACAAAATATGGTAATTTTGTCCTGTGATTCAATACTATCTAGAAAATGGTGGACACTCTTCAAAGTGCAAAGTATCAGAGATACATTGAGAACAGTAACCTTATATCTGTGTTTGATACATTTTCAATCAATACGTATCAAATCTATCTATTATATTTCTTCTCATACGTCTATAGGTCTATCGAATTTTTCCTACCCACTATTTATTGAAATACAGTTTGCTGGGATTTTCAACAAACATGAGGTCTCTTGGCTGGGTTTACTAATAACAATTTGGTCTTTGTACAGTGACAGATTGTATCAGCACTTCTCAGTCTCTTTGCTTTTTAAAAATCTTTACTTTTCCCATTGATGTAACTTTTTGGACCATTAAAATTTGCTTGTATCCTATTGCATTATCTAGCCTTCTACTAAGGTCTGAATTGATATACTTAGATGTTTGACGATATCTTCTCTCAGTAAAGTTTGAAAATCTAGATGTGTTAGATGTATTGTACTTGATGTTTCTTACTTCAATGTCGTAGATATTTTTAGTGGACTTTTGAATGGTGTTTTTTTATACAGAGGGATTGACTCGTGTTTCTATCGCCAAAGAAAAATATGAGGATATATCATTACTCCAAAGAAGCTCAAGTGCACATTTATGGTTGTTCGGTTGTTCTTGGAAAAACTGGAAGAATTGTGAATATGGACGTAATGAATCTGTTCATGAACTGACACGAACCTGCAACCTTGAGTCACTCTATGGAAATTACCTTATCACACAAAGACTCTGTGAGGTCGGAAAAAAGCTTGTGTGTTATTCTGAGCCTGTACTTGAACTTGACTATTCTAGAAATCCAGTTGTTTTGGTTAGTCTCAAGAACAAAATGTTGGAGACAGTATAGAGGTTAAATACACAAATTCCAGTCTTTCCAAAATTTTCTGAAAGTTCAACATAATTTCGTCTGAAGGAACAGAAACACATACCTATTTCTATGCAATCCTCAACTTTCTTGTTCTCAAGTGTGCCGTACAAATGCATCCTACCAACACAATATTTTTGACATTTGTTTGGTTCCCATTTTAACTTTATTTTTGCTACCTTTTAGGATCACTGGTTCTTTCCCATCAAATGTAAAAATTTGTAGATTTCTCCAGAGAGTACCTGTTTATCATGATGTGATTAATGTAACCAACGTATTCTCTGTGGCAAAGATATACCTTCACAAATTTTGAAAGATTTTCTCTTAAGCTGCGTAGGGTCTGTCTTATTCATGAAGTGCTCAGAAGTCTCTGTATAATTTTAGATGAGCCTGAGGCTTTTTTTTTTCTATCAATGAGACTGAATACCTGATAGTTAACAGTTCCAATTTGATTGTTCAACTCTGCTTTACCATCATATTGCAGCCAAAGATCAGAATCTTTCTTTAAGCATTTATTTCATTTGACATCAAAATTATCCATGCTTAAGATTTCAATTCAATTCTGAAGGTGTGAGTTTGTTATTTGGAATGAATGTTCCAAGTTGTTCTCTGTGTCAAAGATGCAGTTTCATTTTTGTGCAATTTCAGCTTCATTAAGAAAGTTGTCTCATATCTTTTAAAATAAGCAAGTTGTCATGTCAATAAGGCACTTCAGAAAGGAAAAAGACAAGTCTAATGTTACTTCATCTCTTGTATTTAAGAAAGTGTTGGAGGCAACAATGTATTAATAAATTTCTGTCATCCATGGTCATATGTACTATCATTCATCCCCCACCCCACTTCCCACCCAACCCCTAAAGGAAAAAAAAAAAAAAAAAACTTTCCCAATGAAAAGAGGAGAGAAAAAAATGGTCTACACATGTAACAAAAGGGAGTACATACCTAATGTTAAACATTGGGTACTAAATATTTTTAAGAAGTACGCGAACAAAAGGAAAGAGGCATCTTGAAATGCAAGCGGTTTAATCCAAGTATGGGCTGTAGAATTCTTTGAAACACAGGCAAAATTATTTTGTCAAGGCAGTCAACGAATCAATAAGCTGCTGAGCAAAGGATTCTCGATATTTGGGACTTATTTTGTCTAAGAGAGAATATGGTGTTTCAAAAAATTCATCAGATTGAATATTTGAAATATTATGATGATTACCAGCTATTACAAAACCACTTTTTGACATTTGAATACAAAAATCAGTACCTTCTAAGGTAGTTATATTAAAATAAATACAATCATCAGTGGCATCTAAACTAGAAATGCTTGCTTGCAATACATGGTTTTTTATATCATGAATAACAGCTGATACTTCCGCTTTCCACTGCTCCTTTTCTAGAATTCTTTCTTCTTCCATCACCAACGTCCAATGTTAAGTCTGTAAAAAGGTACAAGACCAAAATCTTAGGCATTGAAAAGGGCGTCTTTCCAAATTTTTTAAAAAAGATCTTTAAAGATTTTCAAAGATTTTTCTGTAAGGGAGGGGGGGGGGGGGGCACATACTGCCACTTTTTGGAAAAGTATTCTCCAGGCCTCTTGGCTTGGGTCAGTATGCCTCTATTTGACCATGCCTAATCTCGTAGGATATTTGGATTTTCGAAATGGTCAGAGAATGGCATCTTGTAAATGTCGGCCCAATGGCAACCAAGGTTACACCAAAATTGTCCTCACTATAGAACAGACTATCCAATGCATGATGATGTCACCCTATTTGTGCTTATTAAAGCTTGGGATGCCCACTTAGATCAAAAGAAAGGAATTTGACCAAATATTGCGAAGAGAAAGAAATTCTGTGTGAGTTGACATGGATCCAGAAAATCAGAATAGGAACCTAACAGTTGTCGATGATACTTAAATTTATGACCTAGAACGTTAGCAATCAGCATTGATTTGGTTTTTGTAAAAGCATATAAAGTCACCATCTACAATATTTGTTGGTTAGGACCATTTATTAAACCAAATATATCACGAATGAGTTAATCACTATAAAGATTAAAACTACAAAGGGGCTGAAAAACTCATTAAATTTTGTACACGAAGCTTAGAAGAAAAGGGAATACTCGCTCACTTACTTTCACTTTTGTCTTTAGCGGCTTTTCTGCTGTGTGTTGTGTTGTTGTTGTTGTTGTTGTTGTTGTTGTTATGGCGTCTGCTTGTATTTAATTCCTCCCTCTTGAAGAATAGACTTGACCTTTTGGGAGATATTATGTTGCCATGGTAACCGTTTGCTTATGTTTGAATATGTTGATGACAAACCTCAGGCTGGGCTATGCACCACCGCATGCAATTGATGCAATTGCAAGCTGAAAAAGATATGACAACGATTGATTCTTGTTGAAAAAAAAAAATCAAACTTCATTGCTGTGCGTTTTATTTTCATCTCATCGTTAATTATTTTTTTAAGTTCAAAATGGATTTGGAACTGATAAGAGTCGACTATTCTGTCTCGGGAATTACCCTACCTTCTACTATGGAGCTCTTACCTGCTAGTGGAGCGCGACTTTCTCAGAAGGTGAGGAGTTCGTCATTTAACTTGACTTCATAATTCATCATTGTTTCATTTACTATTTGTGGAGCCTATCTTTTTTGCCAGGTTATTATCGGTGATCAGGAAGGAGTACTTCAATCATTTTCAATGAAAAAGGGGGAGCAACAAATGGTTTTCAAGACACTTCCGGGTACACCCATCTCTCGAGTATGCCTTGGTGGAGCTATTGGTAAGTTAAGAGAAAACCAAACAGACTTGGCTCCACAAAAGTCACATTACGTTTATTGGGTATTTCATGGAATAGTGCATATTCTTTGAAGTCTTATAACTCCTAATATTTTCCCTGGCTTAGGAACATCCTGTCAATCCCAGCAGTCTCCTGTACTCAAGCTTTGTGGATAGCCACTTTTGCTTTGCAAATTCAAGTAGAAACTTCTTTAAAAATATCTTTAAGGTATCACCAAAGTCCATATGATTAAATCGTCTTTGACATTACTGTAGTGATTGATTGAAATTAAACTCATTATATGTTAGATTTTAGGATCTGTCTTTACAACAAAATGAAATTACGTTTTGTTTACCCTCAGCAGTGTGAGTATAAAAGTTTTTTTTGCTTTGTTTTTGTTTTGCAGGTACTATTAAGGATAAAATTTTCATATCAAAAAGAGGCGAAGTCCATGGTTACACTAAAAAAGGGAAACTTTTTCTCGGCTTTGATACCTGCTTAGCAGAATCAATTAAGTCAATGTACGTCAATGTATGTCACCTTAGCTTAGATATTAAGTTTTGACTCTTTAAGAATTTAATTGTCCAATTTTGATTTTCTTTTCAAAGGCACGTGAATGCAAGTACATTACTTCTGAGTGGAAACACTGTTTACAACCAGTTCAGAGATTGTGAGGACACTGGTTCTTTTCTCTCAACAGACACTATTAATGATGTCATAGCCTTGCCAGGAGAAAAGGTAAAAACTGAATCTAATAGAATCGCCCTATCAGCTCTCACCAAACCGTGCGGATGGGAGAGAATGGAGGGTCCATATTTGTAGCCAAACTATTTTTCCTCCTCATGATGGTGCTGCAGACGCGGAGCCTGGTGCCGGTGCTGGCGTGCGCCGACGGGGTGCTCCGCGTGCTGGACGGCGCCGAGCTGGAGTCCCAGAGCCGACAGGCCCGGTCCCAGCCGGCGTCCGCCAGGTCGCCGTCGACGGCGCTGCGCCACGAGGTGCGCGTGCCGTGCGCGCCCACCGTGCTGCACCTGGCGGGCCAGGACGGCGGCGACACGGGCCAGAACGTCCTGTTCGGCACGGACGACGGGCGCGTGGGCATGGTGACGGTCACGCGGAACACCACGCCGTCGTGGCGCTGGCTGGTGGACGCCGAGCGGCCCGGGGCGGCCGTCAGCTCCCTGCACTGCCACGACCTGGCGGGCGACGGCGACCTGGACCTCATCGTGGGTCGGGACGACGGCAGCGTCGAGGTGTACGCGACGACGGCCCTGGACCCCAGCGCGGACGCCTCCTCGGACCACGACGTCCACCGCCGTTTCACCTACGTGAGTCCCCTGATGAACACCGCCTCGTTTTGCCCCTGCGCCCGCTAGCCTGACATGTCGCCGTTGCAGTCCTGCCCCGAGAGCGTGTCCTCGGTGCGCGGCGGCGTCCTGGGCACGCAGGGCTATGACGAGGTGGTCGTGTCCAGCTACACGGGCATGGTGTTCGGGCTGACGACGGAGCGCGTGGACGGCGTGGCCTCCATGGACAGCCAGAGCGTGAGCCTGAGCCAGGACGCGCGGCGCCGCCTGCAGCTGCTGCGGGCCGAGCTCGGCGCGCTGGAGGAGAAGGTGTCCACCGAGCGAGACCGGTACCTGGCGGCCGCCGAGGACGGCGAGAGCGCCCTGTCTGTCGTGCCCTACCTCAACATCAACCACAAGGTGGGCGCTGCTGCAGAGTGTGCTACTTTTGGGCTGCCGAGCCGAGCTTGAGGTGCAGTATGTACTTGTCGCGTGCACCTCCTACATGGTGCGAAACTCTGTACAGTTGAGCCTGATACGCGAGGAAGCGGCCTACCTCCTCACCCTTGAGGCCGCGACGGCCATCGACAACGTCTTGGTGCAGAGCGACGTCCCCGTGGACGTCCTGGACGTGGACCGCAACTCGGCCGTCGTCTCGTTCAGCGACTGCGAACCGGAGGTAAGAGGGTGCCTGTCCGAGCGGTGCAGCTAGATTGTCCGACCTGTCGATTTTTCCAAAATCCCAAAAAGTGCTGGCCGACCTAGGTTTTGTCCGACCTAATTTTTTCCGAGCCATTTTTCTTCGACCTCGTCGATATGCTGAAAGTTTGGAAAATGCAGTTATACTTTCCCGCACGTTTGGTTTTCCTACCCCAGGGGGCCGTAGCGCCTAACGGGCGTTGCAGGTAGGCAACACGCACGCCTGTGTGCGGTACAGCATAACCACGACGACTGGCGGGTTCGCCTACCCCAGGGGTGGCCGGAGCGCCTTACGGGCAGTGTGGCACTAAGCTTTAGACGTGAATCACCTCCGTGCAACCGGCAGTTAAAATTACCTCTAAGAGCCGGATTCATTTTTCCTACAAAATTATCAAAAATGGAAAAAAATTGGGCCCTACCCACCCCGCTTTGACACGGGGACCCGCCTGTTTAACTTCGGAGTTCGGTATGGGATCCGGTGTATTCAGGCACCCAGCTGAGGGCCGGGTTTCTTGACTATCTCGCTCACACCGGAGTTTACAGCCATCGACTAGGTTCCCACCAGTCCGCTTGACCGGGAATGGGGGGTAGGGCGGAGGGAGTTAGAAAGAGAGGAGACGGGCGTACGGTGGTTAGCCTGTACTGCACCCAGATGCGATCCGAGCGGAAAGCTTCCGAGTCATGGAATCCCTTCGAGGAGCCAGATTCTAAGGACTTATCAATTCCACACGGGTTACCACCCCCGCTGTGGCTGGGATGGCCCTTACTCGGCACGCTTTCGCCGAGGGTCGAACCTTTGCCCCTAATGGGACCCCAGTGCCGAGTCATCGTCACCCCCGGTCCAGTGGGACAGCGTTAACCACTAGACCGTTCGTTCATCCACGAAGGTGCCCCGTTGAAAAGACGGGTTTAAGTTCCACTCCACGAGTTCGACCGGTTCAGAAAAATGTCGCTGGGATCGGAGATTCGAACCCATGGCTTCTGCCGCAAGCGGCCGACTCTCTACCGGCGCGGCTACGGCGCCACAGTGTGAGAGGCCGGGCGACCTAGGCTAAAGGCATGAGTCCCGCAGTAGCTTGAGCGGGAGAAGAACCGGTTCCATCACGACACCCTCTCACCTGGCGTTTCGAGACCGGCCCCGTGGCTCTGTGATATCGCTGCTAGGTTTGAACTGGGAGTCGGGGGTTCTAATACTCAACGCGCTTTCAAATTATTCGTTTTTATGTTTGAATTTTTACGCACTGAACGAGAAGCTCGACAAGCCGGCAACCCGCGCTGGGGTTCGAGTCCCACCTGGGATCCGACCGGAACGCATTTTTTCTCTCTCTGTCTTTCTTCTCCACGCCGCGTTATCGTCAGCCTGTGTTCTAGTCGGCCAGCACTTTTTTGGATTTTGCCCTGCCCGAGTTCTCTAGGCCGATGCTCGCTCCTCGTCTTGCTCGCGCGCAGTGACCCCTGGACGTCCCTTTCTCGCCCTCAGAGCGACAACAAGGCCCTGGTGACGTTCCGCTGCCAGATGAACACGACGCGGCTGGACGTGCGCCTGCGCACGGTGGAGGGCCGCGCGGGCCACCTGCGCGTGTACGTGACGCCGCTGGTGGCGCCCAAGTGCGCGGCCCTGCGCGTGCTCTTCCTGCCGCCGCTGTCGCTGCACGCGCGCGCGCACCGGGACGAGGCCGGCGCCGACGCGCGCCCCTACAGCGTGCTCACGCTCCGCGGCCACTTCAGCCTCGCCGAGATGCACGCGTGGCTCGCCGCCTGCCTGCCGGACCTCTCGGAGAAGCCGCCCGCCGAGCCCACCACCCTGTGCTTCCAGAACGCCTGCATGTCCACCATGCTCATCTGCTCGTACGGGTGAGTCTGCGCCCCCCGCCGCCCCACCCCTCCTCCTCGGACCCGCACCTGCTCTGGTGACACCGGCGTGCGATGTTGCAGGAAAGGGGAGGCTGAGTTCAGGTCCGACAACGTGTCGACGATATCCATCATCAAGGACGTGCTGTCCAAGATGGCCACCGGCCGCTCTATACACCTGGACATATCGTGCGGTAAGGTTCAAATTCGCCCTTCATGCTCATGTACTGTACACCGCATGCAGCCGTGTGAAGGGCTTAGGCTTGCCTTGCCCGTCGTCTGTCACCGCAGCGGCGCCTCACGGCCCCTGGCGAGTAGGCAACGCGTCCACACGCATGCATGCATTGCCTACTCGCCAGGGGCCGTGAGGCGCCACGGAGGTCGGTGACAGCCGATGGGCAAGCCCGCCCGCACAACTGCATGCGGTACAGTCGGTACAGTGTAACTGAAATGTACTCGAGCACCGGATCCGGATCCGGGGACTGTGCGGGGCCACCCTGCATACAGTATTTCGAAAGAGCTGTGCTTTTTATTTTCTCTAACCTTTGTTTCTGTTTTTGCCCCAAGTGGTGAACCCCGACAGCGGTCCGCACGCGCTCCGCCTCATGTTCCCCGTGCTCCGGGAGCAGGCCGCCCTCCACCGGGACCTCATGCTGCTCGACGCGCTCCGGGACCTGGACAAGGAGGCGCTCGCCCCCAAGTTCCTCGCCATCCTCGACAGCGAGGACGACATTCGCGAGCGGGTCAAGCGGCACCCGACCTACCTCGACAGGCTGTGCGGTGGGTACTCTACCACGGACCCCTCATTGTAATATACAAAGGTGGCTGCGTACTTTTAACTTTTGTAGTTGTACCGTACCGCGGCCGCGGCGGGATAGGCAGTCCGCTTGCACGCGGCGCAGTATAACTACACAAAAGTGCGCGGGGTTATCCAGATCATGGCCCCTCAGCGAGTACGCAACCCTACACTAACCGCGAGGCCACTATTGGCCGTCACTGTAACGTCATCATTGCGAACGTCACCTCGCTGCTTCTGGTGGTTCTACAGTCTTGCTCTGCTCGACAGGTATGCTGACGGACCTGTACATCGACCACTTCAAGTTCAGGGGCGTCAACGTGAAGGGGCGCGTGCCGCAGCTGCTGGACTCGGTGTACAAAGAGCCCCTGGACACGCTGCTCGAAGCGCTGCTGCAGCACTTCCAGGAGCCCCTGCCAGACTCCAGGGTGTAAAGCAAAGAGCGTCTATCCCAAAGGGACCAAATAAAAAACTTGGCAATGTTGAGTACTATTTGATTACAGTATCTAACTTCGCTTGCCCCGACGCTCCCATCTGAAAAATCACAATAATAAACCACTCAGAAAATTTGTTTCGCGAAAAAGGGGGTTCGCATGGTTCGCCTGTCAAATTAAGGCTGGCTGTCAAAATAAGATACGGTTTGGCCGACCGACCGACCGACCGTCAACCTCGGAACGACCAGGACGACTGAAATATCGTGTTCGGGGGTTTTCTCGCACGCTGAGTCCAAATCTGGTAGTGCCGATGTCCGGGCCCCCGCGGACCTTCATTGGGGACCTTCCCGAGCACGCCGATGACCCTCCCACGACAAATTCGGCTCCAAACGTTGTTACACATGGGCTGGTGCATATTTCTTGAAAGTCGCCAAATATAATTATTATTAATAGCAAATCGCCCATCATAGTTTATTATCCTGATCATTTCACTATTGTCACACGGCACTTCCCTGGCGTTGCCGCCTGCGCCTGGAGCCACAACGATGCACGGGACGGGAAGCATCCCCAAAGGATCACATCCTGGACAAGCGAGGCGGGATTGCCTACCCCAGGAAAGAATCACATATCCCGCGACCACGATATGTCGGTGAGTATGCCGTAAGTATTGCTCTCCCCCTTTGCCGTGCCGCGTCCCCTACCCTACCCCTCTCCTCCTCCCTACCCCGCTTTCCCGCGCCTTTATGGAAACGTAAACAAACAGTGGAAATCGGAGTCACGTTCGGCGTTTCTGGCAAATACCGATAATATCTACTCATATAATTGATGATCATAGGATTTTAACCAGAATTCTAGAGTGGACATTGGACATCGTCGCTTTTCGACATTAATCGCAAGGTATAGTGCTTGATTGTTTCCGGTCCGGAATATTGAATTGTTCCATTCCGGTTATTGTTTGTAGGAGGTTAGTAGTGTGCTCCTGTAGCTCAATTTTTACACGGACAATTAAGTTGTAAGTTATTTTTTGAGGCCGAGTAAATGATACCCGTGATGTAAATAACTTGGCTCACTGTCAGCTTTGTTGAAAAGTTGTTGAATGGGGACACTCCTCCAATCCATGCCGTATGTTAAATACTAGCTGTTGTAGGTCACTTACGCAAATGGGTGAACTGCCAGTGTTTTATCACATATCATATATTTTACTCTATATTATTCTCGTGGAACAGAAAACTTTA